CAGATGGTGTTATTGTATTGATTGAATAATTTAAGATCTTTCATTTCAATTTCACCGGGACGTGATTTGTGATAGGTATAAATGTGGGTCATCAGGGAGTTACGCGAGCAATAGACTCTTTCGCAGATGATACAACGGTATTCCTCTTGGCGTACAGCATGTTTGTCGGCAATGTGACGTTTGAGCGAAGCTTTTGAGCAAAGAAGCTTACCACATAGTTGGCATGAGAAGAGTTTTTTAGGCGAATTTCCTGGAATTGTGTTTATATATTGCAAAAAGGTTATAACTATAATTGTTTAAAAAAATATTTTTTTTTGCTGATTTTTAGTTTTTTTTTTTGTTTTAATACCATTAACGAACAAAAAAAATAATATATATAAATGAGTAAAAAAAATGCTTAAATAATATATTTATATATATATGGCTGAAGAAAAAGACAATTAATGACACATAGTTTGTGGGGGGGGGGGCAGTTAGAGTGAGTTTAAGTTTATACTAGTAAGAGTAGGTTAAATAGATATTGTTTAAAATAAAAGCTAAATATTTTTATTAAACAAATAAAAATATTAATAAAATGCAAGACAATATTGCATAAAGTTTAGCCGGTTTTTGAAATATGTAACACCATGTTCAAATTTATATTGAGTTTGCGTACGATTTCCTTTAAAGACATATAGTTTTCCACACATTTAATTAACAATTTCACAGCAATTATGAGCAGAATGATGATAAAAAAAATGACACAAGAAGACAAATGTAAAAGCGAAATTAATTTATAATAAATACAATTTGTGAGAGCCCTTTTAAATTTATACCCCAAAAAAGTATGCTATATAAATAAAGAACTATGCAATCAATTAACTTAATTTCTAAGTGAAAAGCTAGCAAATAGTTTGAGAGAAAATGTAATATGATTAAAGCCAATTAAAGCTTTCATTAGTTTGAACAACATGTTATCATGATTAAGAGCCTTAACCTTATAGCTTTAAGTTTAATTGAGTGGTAAATTAGTGATGAAAAAGTTTTTGAAAAAATTAAACACTTTAGACGTTTTTTTTTTCTTCATTTTGTGGTTTTTATTGTTTATATTTAAATGATAACTTTTTTAATTATGTTTATTTTACGAAAATATGTTTGTTATTATTTTTTTTTTATAAATAAAATGTTGTGGTTTGTTTTGTTTGTTTTTGTCTCAAAAACTTAAAATAATTAGTTTAATGAATTATTACTTTTTTGTTAAAAAAAAAGTTTCTTCTTTTAATTAAATCTTTACTCAAGAAAAAAAAGTTGTGTTAAACACTTTAATTTAAAAGATAATATTAATAATAATAAGAAAAGATATCAGAAACAAAAAAACAATAGTTTAAATTAGTTTTAACAAAATTTATATTTATACATATTTATAGGTGGTGTATTTATATAAAAAATTAAATTTTTATTATTCATTATAAATAGTAGTTAATTATAAAAATTACAAACAGAAAATGGAAGTGAAAGTGTGTAGTTGTTTAATAATGTTTTTTTTTTTAACTGCTAAAAAACAAGGAGTTGTAGTTTATTTATGTTTAAAACTTTTTTTAAAAAGTTTTTTTTCTTTAACTGAGTATAGTTGCAATTATAACAAACAAATTAAATAAAATAATTAATAATATTAATAAATATAGACTAAACAAATTAACGACTATTGTTTGAGGGCTTTAAAACCTTCAAAAGTTTTAAAGTTTCTTTTTTTTATAACCTTTTCTATTGTTGTTTTATTTGGGGGGGGCTGGAGGGGGCTGTTGTTGGACATTATTTGTTAATTGTTTTATTTCTTTATTTGTTTGTTGTTTTATTTTATTTATATTTTTTATTTTTTGCTGAGTACATACATACATATGGAGTTTATGTGTTTAATTTAATTTATTTTCTTTGAAGATTTCTTATTTTTTTTTTAATTTTGTTAATTATTAATTATTATTGTATGTCAAAGAAAGTAAATTGTTTTAAATATGTATTTATGTTTTTATTGTTACTTTAATGGTTCATTAGAATTCTCATTTGGTTTATTATTTTTACTATTGAATTTGATTAGTGTGTGAGTGTAGTTAGTATATTTATAACATATATATTTTTTTATAATATTGTTGGTTTTTTTATTTATTTTATTGTTACTATGTATAGGAGTTTTGTTTTATTATTCAATTAAAAATTATTACTATTTTGTTTGTTATATGTTTTATTTTTTTCGTTTTCTTTGTGGGGGTTTTTCGGGGTAATCTGTTGTTGCTAATAATAGGTTTTGCGATTACTAAACTTTTTAAATGTTTAAGTTTTTTATTAAGGAATTACGTTTTCTAGAGAGAATATGTTTTTCTTGTTCATAGAATTTTTCAAAAACTTGAAGTTTACATAGGAAACGTTGAAGCATTAAAATGTTTTAAATAAAAACGTTTAAGCACTTGAAGTGGGTATAGATGCTTAGACGTTTAAATGTGAGTGTGTTACTCATCTTCAGTGTAAGAGAAAATCAATTTTGTAAAGAAAATTATTTGTTAACTCTTCTAATATATTCAGGAAATATAGACAATCTATTCATGATCTTTTAAACTTGTTTTATGCACTTGAAGTTGTTATATATGCTTAGACGTTTGAATGTGAATGTGATACTTATATTTAGTGTAAAAAAACATCAATTTTGTATGAAATTAAAAAAGAAACTCGCAACAGATCCAAATAATACTATTGCGATTGTAGAGTGAATTGAAAGTGTGACACAAATAACTGAGGGTATTATTGAGGGGCCGCACATGCTTTGGCGTTTAAATGTAAGTTTGATATTGATCATGAGTGCAAGAGAGAATATAATACGTAAGGAAATCATAGAAGAAATCAACATCCAAGCCGAATAATACACTTGTGATTACAGAGAGAATTGAGAGTTTGAAACAAGAATGTCAGAGAGCATTATTGAGGTGCTTTGGCCTTTAAATGTGGGGGCAAGAGAGAATAAATTTTGTAGGAAACTTAACAGAGAAATTAACACCAAAGCCTAGTAATACTCTTGTGATTGCTGAGAGAATTGAGAGATTGACAAATAATGCAGACTGCATAATTGTAGTACTGTAGATGCTGTGGCGTTTAAATATAAGCTAGATGCTTACCATGAGTGCAGAAGAGACTTAATTTGCTATAAAAATTGGCAAAGAAAACCTTACAAATGAGTTGGAAACATTATTAGGAGGCTATAAATGCTTGGGTGTTTAAGTGTGAGTTTGATACTCAGCAATTTGCCACAAATATCGAAACGATAACAATCGTAATTCCACTGTGATTGCTGATAGAATTTAGAGTTCGACACAAACTACAGATATTACAGCGAAGGCAGTCTTTTAAAGGGAGAGATAAAAGTACACAAAACGGAGAACTATTTGAACTCTCTCAAAAATTTTCACTATTCCTTTTCAAAACATTTTATATCCTAAAAGTTTAGTAATTTTTCTGGGACTATGGGAGCTGTTTTAACATAAATTCTGTTTTATAACTATTATTTTGCTTTAATTGTTTAGGTTCTTTTCTTACTGCTTGGTTGTTTATGGGTTTTGCTTAGTTGTTGATTTATCTTTTATGTTTAACACTATTGTTTGATTTAAAATTTTCTGCTTTAGTTTTTTATGACATACATTTATTTATATAATAATAAGAAAATAGGAATTAATTTTAAGTTTTAGTTTTATTACTTGAAACAATAAATCTTTATATAAAAAAAAAATTAAAGTAAAATTATTATTTTTATTTATAAAAATGAAAATAAACTTTATATTTACAAATTGAAATTTATTTTAAAGAAAAAAAACAAACATTTACATTTAAAAAAAAAATATATATATGATTTAATTAATAGGGTAGTAGTAGGTATGTGGTAATATGTTTTATTTGTTTTTAAAGAAAATAATTAATAATAATATTGAATATTTATAAAAATAACTGCTTAAAATGTTATATAAAAAAAAACTTAAAAAGAAAAACATTATACAAAATAATAATACTTATATAATTATAAATTTTTTTGTTTAGTTTTGCATACATGAGAGAATACCATTAAAAATTAATTTAAAAAAATAAGGGTGTATAAAAAAAGATTTTGGTATTATAAAAAAAAAATTCAGACTTCTTTTTCCAAAATTTATAAAATATAGTTTTATATTTGCTAATAATTTTATTAAATTAAAATATAAATTTGTAATTTGGAAAAGTATAAAGAAACAAATTTTATTTCTTGCGAAAGTTTTAAAAAAAAAAAAAAATAATTCAGTCTTTTTAACACAAAAATTTTGCTTTTTTTAAAGTTAGTTTTTTTTTGGAAAAAATTTTGATTTTTTTTCGTTTTAGTAAAATAATAATTTTTTTTATGCCAATCACATATTTGTTTTCGTTATTTTTTTGTTTTAATTTGGTATTTTAATTGCCAAAAAAATATATAAATTTTTGATCTTAAACCTAAAAACTATCAGTCCTTTTTCTTTCAATGCCTAAAAAAAAACATAAAAAAATGTTTTTTTTTCTTATTCTTCTTCTTAAATGTGTTTTACACAAATCCAAAAAAATTGTTTAGAAAAATAAAATTCTTTTTAAAGTTAAAAAAAAAAATTAAATAAAAATATTAATAATAATAGAAAATGTTATGCAAATAGAACGTGTAGCAGTGAAAATTCGTAAGGCAGCAGTTTGCAGTTACCAGCTGTTTATAGAGAGAGTTAAAAATTTAATTTGAATTCGCAAAGAGTTTAATGTTTTTGTATGTTATATGCAGAATAATGCCAAGTATGCTTTGGCGTTTAAATGTCAGTTTGATACTCAGCAATCGCAACGAGAACAGTCGTAATACCTTTGTGTTTGCTGAGAGAATTGAGAGTTCGTCACAAATTACCAAGAGCGCAACGGCATTTGTAATTTGGGTTTATAAAGAGAGTTACAAATTTAATTTGAATTCCCAAAGAGTTTAATGTTTTTATATGTTAATATAAGAAGAATAATGCCAAATATTTTTTAGTGATATTAATTATATATATATATTTAAATTGAAAATTTGCTATACTTAATAAATTTGTAAGGCAATAAATGCTTTGGCGTTTAAGTTTGCTGAGTTTGCTGAGAGAATTGAGAATTCGACACAAATTATAAAGGGAGTTACAAATTTAATTTGAATTCCCAAAGAGTTTAATGTTTTTATATGTTATATGCAGTAAAATGACAAATATCTTTTAGTGATATTTGCTGATAATGTTGTAATCCTTAATAAAGGATTTATGATAAATAATTGAAGGAATTTTTTAAATTTGTTTACCACACGTTCTATTTGCTAATGGAAGGTTGGTTGGTGTTGGTTTTTTAATGGTTCTCATGTTTATAAGATTTTTTTGCATGTGTATGTGTGTGTGTGTAAATGTGTTTTTTTGTTTGTTTAAATGTATTAAATACATATTTACATTTGTTGAAATAAAACTTTGCTCTAGCTTAGTTACTAAAAAATATATAATATATTACAATGATTTTAAATCCAGTTAAATCTTAACGATTTCTTTTCTCTTGCTTTTTTTTTTCTTTTTGAGTTTTACACAATAAGTCCTTTAAAAGTAATTAGTTTTTTTGCTTTTAATTTAATATTATAGTTTAGTTAATATAAGTTTACAATACATTTTCTTGTGTTTTTGTTATTATTTATAATTTTTTTTTTTTTTATAAAATTAAAATTAAATGTATTGTCAACGAAAAAGAGTTTAATTGCACAAGTCATTATTTTTTTCATACACTAAAATGTTTCTTAACTAAGTTTTCTTTTTCTTTTAAATTTTTTGTTATATAAAATTTATAGGTTTTCTTATATTCAATCGCACCCTTTTTAATAAATATAATTTATTTTTAAATTTTTTAGGGTTTTTTTCATTTATATATGATGCTCATCTTATGAGTTTTCAATCATATTTTTTTTATTTTTTTTTCTTTTTCAAAATGAAATTAAAAAAATATTTGTAAAAATCACAGTTTTGAATTCGCCTAAATATTAATAAAAAATAAATCTTTGTAAGTTTTGTTTTTTTTTTGTATGTTTTTTAGTTTTTTTTTTTTTTTTTTGAGATCCAAAAGGTGGAATAAACTAGGAAATTTTATAAAGGATTTTGTAAGAGAGGGATGTTGCAGCAGTTGTTTATGAATGGTATTTCTTAAAAATAGTATTTTGGTTTCAGAAAAAAATATAGGGTTTGTTGATGATTCGTAAGAAAAATATATTAAAATCGCCTGAAATGGTACACTTAATGCCACAAGTCTAAAAATTTTGATTTTCGTAAAACAAATAGAAAATTATTCAATCTTTCTTAAAAACTTCAAAAAAGCTTTTGAAACCAAAAACTTTTAAGTGTTTCTTAAGGGACTTGTGTTTCTCTAAATATCATTTGACACACGCAGTCATTACAAACATATATATGGTTGTCACAACCATATTTCAATTAATTCACTATTTAAACTACTACCACAAGCACAAGTATATGCTTGTCGCAATCATAGTTTTTTCTCTTTTAAACGTATCTTAAGGGACTTGTGTTTCTCTAAATATCATTTGACACACGCAGTCATTACAAACATATATATGGTTGTCAAAACCATATTTAAATTAATTCACTATTTAAACTACTACCACAAGCACAAGTACATGCTTGTCGCAATCATAGTTTTTTTTTTCTCTGAGTGCATTGACCACTTAAGCCAAATTTAATATAAAACAAAATAACTATAAAGAGGAACATGATGGGGGGATATTATGTGGATACTAACAAGAAAATATTTTCGACAAATATTATTACTGTTGTTGTTGTTTAATGATTTAATAAATTCATACTACTATAGGGATCCTCACACGAACCCATGGCGTAATTTTCTATTTGTGTTAAATCAACTATTGGTGGTGGTTGTGGTGGTAGCGGCGGTGGCGGCGGGTTTAGAGAGGCAACTAGACCAGCCTCATTTGTATTCGTCGTAGATGATGGGGATGTAAGATTTGTTGTTAGGGCCGGATGTGTAGGACCGGCACCGGTGGCGGCTGGATTCATGGCAAAACTGAAGAGATGTTGTAAAAAATTATGCTGATCTTATAAGTAGTCCATACAGGGTTTCACCATATTTGGTGAAGACTGCTGTTGGTGAGAGGACATTTGCATGGTGGGTCCCGCATTACCAGCGCCAGCACCTACAATGGGCGAAAGTAATAGCTCGGCAGCAGCGGCGGCTGCTGCAGCCGCAGCAGCTACAGCATTATCATTATTACGATTCACTGCTGAATTATTGGCGGCGGCAGCGGCCTGTAGAGAACTCAAAGATTGGTGAAGACGACTGCCGGGACCTGCAGAGGAACCCACACCGGAACCTACCGAGCCATGATGAAAATACGAATGATGTTTTTGTCGTCTGTGATAGATACTCTTGTGATTGTTGAGAGAATTAAGAGTGCGAAAAACTTTATGACACAAATTGCAGACGGCATTATTGAGAGGCTGTAAATGCTGTTGCTCTTTGTGACGTTTAAGTGTGAGTTTGGTGCTTAACAATTTGCCACAAACATCGCAACGATGACAGGCGTTTAGGGGGAGGGGTAATAGCAAACGATTACCACCACCCAGTTCGGAGGCTCGAGAAGACGCAAGAATACCAGCCGCCGAAGAAGTGTTTGAAGAACGACCGGTGGGTGAGGGTGACAAGGAGGAACGTCTGTGCTGTAACAAATGATGATGATCATAAGGAGAGGGGGCTCTAGTCAAATGATGATGGTGATGATGACTGCTGGGGGAGAGATCATGATGGGAGTGCAAATGGTGAGAGGGCATCAATGATAATTGATGTTGCTGTAAAGCAAATTGGGAATGAGCATGGGAAAGGTGAGGTGGTGGGGTTTGCGATTGTTGGGATTGTGGGGGTTGAAGATGGTGGGGAGAGGGGGTATTGGGAAAGGAACCTTGTTGTTGTTGTTGTTGCTGTTGACCCTTTTGATCGGGCGTCGCTCTTTGACCATGGCGTTCTCTTTCACGCTCATGTTCTAATTCATTATCGCGTTGATTGGAATTACGTTCTTTGCCTTGTTGTTGTTGTAATTGTTGTTGTTGTTGCTGCTGTTGTTGTTGTTGATGGAGACTGTGCATATGATGTTCATGTTGATGTAGTGCATGAGTGGAATGATGGTGGTGGTGGTGGTGGTTGCTACTTGTATTAGGATTGACCCCGGGTACTATAACGCCACCGAGTAGGTTAGTGCTTCCACCTATATTGAATATAGGAAGAGAAGAGAAAAGAGACAATAGTGACTTTCTGTTTTTTGTAACATTTTGAATAAGTAGTTTGTAGTAGTTGTTTGTTTGTTTGTTTGTTTTCTTGTGATCATTTTGTACTGTTCGCTTGATTTTGGTGTTTTTTTGTTTGATTTTGTCTTTTAAGTGTCTTTTTTGGAAAATGTTGTTTTTTTTAAATTTTGTTTTGTAACTTTTAATGTATTTGTTTTTGTTGTTTAATTGTTTCTCTAGGTACACTAACAAATCCAGGCTCTATAAAAATGTTCAAAGTATACTTTCAAATTTGTTTTTTTGTTTTTGTTGCTTTGCTTGATCTTTTATATGAATTTGGAATTAAAATTAAACAAAAAGAATTGATTTTTTTTGGTTTTTAAGGGAGAACCAAGTAAATGTTGCCTTTTTTTGCTTATTAATTTTTTTGTAACAAATAAAACGAGTAAAAACAAAAATAAAGTATTAATAACATTTGCTTTTGGGTAGATGTTTGTTTTGTTTAGTTTTGAAAAACTGTTAATTGAATTTTGAATTTTTTTTAAGGCAGTTTTGGGAAGGGAATTTTTTTAAATTTTTCTTTTTTTTTTTTTTTTGCATAAATTATTTTTGTTTAGATAAGATAATGAACAACACATTGATACATTTATAAAAAAAGAAAACTGTTTAACACTTACGTTTTTTACAAAAAAAAAATCTAAAAATTATTTTAAAAATTTAAAACAATTTTTAGAGTTTTTTTTCCAACGTTTAACAAATTTAAAAAGATTTGATTCTTAAATTTGTGTGATTAATTTTGGTAAATTTTTTGCTTTTAAAATAATTAAGTAAAAAGCATGCTTTTTAGAATTATGATCCTTGAGTAGATTTTTTTAAGGAATCAAATTAATTTTTAGTATAATTTTGAAACATTTTTGGCCTGATTGATTTGTTGGTTTTTTTTGTATAAAAGTACAATATTTTTTTATTATACTTTTTTTAATTTTTTTTATTTAGATGTTTTTTTTAATAACTTGTCACTAGTGTCTCTTTTTCTTTTCATTGTTAGCACACCACCTACAAGATTGAGGGGGAAGTTTTTTTGTTTTTTTTTTTTTTAATTTTTCTATAAATATATTTAGCAAAGTTGAGCATTTGCTATAATTTATAGCTTAAATTCTATAAAATTTATTAACTTTATTTAAGATATATAAAAATTTTAGATTTTTTTGCATAATTAAAGATTTAAAATCAATAATTTAAAAAGTTTTAAAAAGGAATAGGGGAAAATTTAATAGGGTTTTAAAGGATTTCTAAAATATTTTTTTTTTCAGTGTTAATACCAATTACAAAAAAAAAAAAAAAAAAATGTGTATGAAAAAATAGGTGCTTTGACTTGTGGTAAAATATGGTGATTTTTTATATAAAATGATTTGTTATAAAGTACAGACATACATATATTTTTAAAAAAAGTTTAACAAATATTTCTAGGACTTATTATGTAAATTCTCAAAAAGAAATATTAAATTATAAGAAAAAAATTTAAAGAACTTAACTATAAAAAGTAAAAAATAACTTATTTTTAAAAATATATAAAAATTAAACGAACACAATTATTTATAAAAAAAGTATCTCCATTAATAAAAAAAATTATTATAATGTTGTGGTTTTTTTAAATTATTAAAAAAATTCCAAAATATTTACAAAAAAACTTAAATAATATGATTAAAGTAAAAAAAAATCAAGCTTTTAAAAACAGTTGGTCGGTCGGTCGTTCATAAAAATGCCCGATTTTTTTTTTGTTTTTTTTTGTTAATTTCCTATTTAGTTCTTAAAATTATTGCAACTAATTCAATGTTTTTTTTAATATTTTTAAATATATTTTTGTTTTTTTCTTCTTCTTTTTTTTGCAATGTAAAAATTTCAAAACTTATTTTTATACATTTCTTGTTGTTAAAAAAATTCTTATTTCCTATAATAATGTATATATTCAATATATTCATTGTTAATAATAATGTTGATTTTTTGTTTTAAATGTAATTTTAAATTTCCTTTCTTATTAATATATATTAAAGCCACTTTTTTATATTTATTTAATATTAGTAACAAATTCATTAAACTATTCTTTTTATATAACTTTCTTTAAAAAACCTGACAAATTCATAAAAATTTTTCATATTTATTAACTATATTGCTTAACTTTCTTTTTTTGTTTGTTTTATTTTTAATTTAAGAAGATTAGATTTATTTGAGAAAAAATTTTAATTGTATATACTGTGTATCCTGTTTTGTTTTTTTCGTTTTTTGGAAAAAAATTTAATTTACAAAACATTAACAAAAAAAATTTTTTAAATTCTTATAGAATTATGTGGAAAAAATTTTAATTTATAAAAGCACCTTAATATATGTTATGTTTTTTTTGGGTGCGAGAAGAAGCTTAAATATTCGAGAGTGAATGAATGCCGAGTTAGTTTTCTGCTTTTTATTCTCATTTGCTTGATACAAGTTTATCTCGTGAATTCTTTAAATAGTTTAACTTGTAAGATCACTTCCTCATAACTAATCGGTTATAAGATAATCAGATAAATTATGACTTTAAATAAAAAAGTTTTATACAGAAAAATGATCATCAAGATCATCAAAAGTATTTTCAATATTAAAACAAGATCATAACGATCTTGTTCGTTATCCTTCTCTCAAGATAAGATGAAAAATATTGAAAAATGATCATCGAGATCTCTAAAAGTTTTTTTGTAATACAAAAACTAAAATTTAGAACTAAACATTGTAAACTATTTGTACGATCACATCGATCTTCTTCGGCATTTTTAACTCAAGTTAAAATTAATTCAAATAGTTTTAGACAGAAAAAAACTGTTGACAAATGATCATCAAGATCATCAAAAGTAAGTTCAATACTAAAACTTAAAACTAAACATGTTAAACTGTTTGTACAATCACACCGATCTTCTTCGGTATTTTTAACTCAAGATAAAATTAATTCAAATAATTTTAGACAGAAAAAATCTGTTGACAAAGATCATCAAGATCGTCAAAATGTTCAAAACTAAAACATAGAACTAAACTTGTCAAACTATTTGTACGATCACAGCGATCTTCTTCGGTGTTTTTAACTCAAGATAAAATTATTTCTAATAGTTTTATTTTATGACAGAAAAAATGATCATCAAGATCGTCAAAAGTAAGTTTAATACTAAAACTTAGAACTAAATGTTTCAAACTATTGGTACGATCATAGCGATCTTCTTCGGTATTTTTAACTCAAGATAAAATCACTTCAAATAGTTTTAGACAGAATTTTTTTTTTTTGATAAATGACGATCTTGATCGTCAATAGTAAGTTCAATACTAAAACTCAAGATAAAATTAATTCAAATAGTTTTAGACAGAAAAAATTGTTGACAAATGATCATCAAGATCGTCAAAAGTATGTTTCATACTAAAACTTAAAACTAAACATGTCAAATTATTTATTCGATCATAACCGATCATGTTCGGTATCTTTAACACAAGATAAAGTAATTCAAATTGTTTTATAAACAGAAAATTTCAAAAAAAAAAAAAAAGTAGATCATCAAGATCATCAAAAGTATATTGAATATTAAAACTATTTGTACGATCATTACCAATCCTGTTCGGTAACTCTATCTTAAGACAAGGAGAAAAAATTTGAAAAATGATCATCAAGATCGCTAAAAGAATTTTTAATTCAAAAGACTCAAAATGTTCAATACTAAAAACTAAAACTAAACATTCGATTATAACGATCTTGTTCGACTTCTTATTACAAGATAATTCAAAAAATTTCATACAGAAAATTTTTTTTAGAAAATGACCATTAAGATCGCTTTAAAACTAAAATTTATTTTCGAGATATACTTAAATCGCCTGATAAACTTAAATACATTTCTTAAATAAATCACAAAAGACTTTATCTGTCTAAAGAATTGCATTACTTTGTTGGGAGGATCTTATATAAGGACTCTTCTTACTCTCAAGGAACGTGAAAAAAGCCACATTATAAGCACGAAATTATTTCTTATTATGAACTTCAAGAAATCGATAGAATACAAATAATTGTCATAAGTAAAGTAGAGTAGTAGTAAAAGAGTAATGAAATGTTTTAGATTTAATGCATTACAAGTAAGTAATGAAATAATGAAAACAATTCACTAATAATGTTATATACAAAATGAAAAAAAAAAAATTTGTACATACACCTAACAAAACAAAAGTAAAGAGTTAAAATGAGAGTAAATGGATCAGTAATTATGTGTAAGCAAGTAGTGATAAAGTGAGAATAGGAAAAAAATAACCGGCATTCACACATACTCTTTTGACTTAAACGAATATAAAAACTTTCTGGCAAACTTCTCTTGTTTTTCAATTTTAAGGTCTTTTTTTCTCTTTAACGTTAACGATTTTGTGATAGATAGATAAATCGACTCTTGCTCTCTTAACATTTAACATTATTATTATTGTTGTTTTAGTGAAAAAAAAAAAAAAATAATAATAATTCTTATGATCATTATTATTATTATTATTACGATAACGGTTAAAAATTAACATTTGCTAAATAATCGAAATACATAAAACCCTATGAAGATGAACGATGATTAATGGCCGTATAGTAGGGATTATTGACAGTGACACCCATATTGTTGGCATGATGACCGCCACCCATATCCGGTGATTGGGGCTCTTGTTTCGGTTGCTTTAGATTTCTATGATAAATACTCTTATGATTGCGTAAGCTATTCAATGAACTATAGACCCGTTTACATATATTACACACCGGCTCTTTTGTCGGACGCATATGTACATTTTGTATGTGACGCTTGAGGCGTGTCAAGGACGATAAGTTTTTGTTGCAGGGATCACAGCGAAAATCATCACCACCGCTAGATGTATTTAAACTATTTGTGGATGAATTTAAGGCATTCGAGTTACTAGACGAGGCAGCCATATTGGCCATGGCTGC